CAAAAGTCAAGCACCCTAAGGAGGATCCAAGATTGAGTCAGAAGAAAAACTTTCTTTCATGAAGCTAATGAAGGAAAAGTCACATTCTATATGTTTGCTAACATCCTCAGGCAGAGGTAAAACTATAGTAGAAGAAACACTTGAGGCAGAAAGACTACATGGGTTCAAAGTGGGGAAGGATTTCTCCCCAAACACACTCTAAGAATTTCTATCAAAAGAAATATGAGCAGCTGTAGTGTGCCAATTTTAGTGGAAAGTAGAATGCAGAAATAGGAAATAAATGTCCCTAGTTGAGTAAATTGAGGCTACCTTGTCTAATAATAGTAGGCAATCAAGGTGACATTTCTATAACCCATGAAAGACTCTACATCTTTTCCAATGAAGATGGAAAGTCAATCTTCCTCGTGACTTCTTATGGATTACTACCCAAAGGGCTGCTAAAATTTTGAAAGAGATTCCATGACTACCTTTATAGTCTCAAAAACTATAATTTAAAATAGAACTTCAACCTATCAATTCATTCATGCTTTTTTATTCATTCATATTCAATAAATATTCGAGTGCCTCCTTTGTGCCAAGTACTATTCTACCTGCTTAAAATCCTTTAGTAAATAAAAGAGACAAAGATCCTTGCCCTCATGGAGCTTGGATATCGTGATGTTTAATTTTATGTGCCAACTTGACTGGGCTAAAGATATGCCCAGATAGCTAGTAAAACATTATTTCTGGGTGTGTCTGTGAGAGTGTTTCTGGAACAGATTAGCATTTGAATCAGTAGACTAAGTAAAGAAGATCTGCCCTCACCAATGTGGGAGGGCAATATGCAATCCATTGGCCTCCCTTATCCACCCCTATCCCCTCCTCCTCCCACCCCAATAGAACAAAAAGGCAGAAGGGAAAATACTCTTTTTTTAAGCTGGGATTTTCATCTTCTCCAGCCCTAAGACATCCTGCTCCTGGTTCTTGAGCCTTTAGATTCTAGAACTTATGCCAGTGGCCCCCAGTTTCTTGGGCTTTTGGACTCAGACTGAATTATATCACTGGCTTTCCTGGTTCTTCAGCTTGCAGAGGACAGATCATGAGATTTCTTAGCCTCCATAACCATGTGCAACAACTCCTATAATGTATCTCCTCTTGTGTGTATCTATATATATCTTATTGGTTCTGTTTCTCTGGAGAACCCTGACAACGCTGATATAATAATAAATGCACCACATAGTCTGTTAGAAATGTTGGACACCAATAAGTGCCATGGGATAAAACGTAGAGCAGAAAAGGGAGAGAGGTAGGGAGGCAAGCAGCATGGGACTGGGTAGTGGGTAAGCTTCACGGAGAAGGTGAGATTTGAGCATAGATTCAAGGAAGATAAGAAAGAGAGCTATGCTGATATATCTAGGTGAGGAACTTTTCAGGTAAAGGCAATGGCCAACACAAAGGCCCCCAAGGCAGGAGCTTGCTTGGTATGGTCAAGAAACAGCCAGAAGACAGAGTGGCCCAAACAGGGAGAGGGATGGGGAGAGTAGTAGGAGGTGAGGACAAAGAAGTGATAAAAATAGGGGTAGACCATGTAGGGTCTTGCAAGCCATTGCCCGCACTTCAGTTTCTAGTATTAGCAAAGCGCAGAGCCCAGCGAGCTTTACAGCAAAGGAATGACATGCTCTAATTTAGGTTTTCAAATGCTCATTCTGATGGCTTTAGAGAAAGAGACAGAAGGGGAACAAGGTAGAAGCAGAAGAGAGGGGGGAGGTGTTGGAGGCACTAGGAAACAAGGTGTAAACTGTCACACTGATTTCTGGTGTAAAGATCAAGTTAAATCCTCTAAATTCCTGAATGTCTTAGACTAACTGAAACTTCACCTTATCTGCTACATGAAGACAAACTGATGAGTTACTCTTGCTTCAGAAAGATTTCTTCACGTAGAAGACCACAAAATCTGAAGACAGGAAATAGAACACCTGGCAACTGCTGTCAACTCTGGACTAAAATTCATTCAGAAAATTAGCTTTCATTCCTACCATCTTAAAGAGCAAGTCAAAAAAAAAAAAGAAAAACTTGTAACCATCCCTCTAAATTTCTACCATGGATTATTTTTCCTGAAATGGAGGGCAGGGGGCAGTAGGTAGAGTATATATTGAACTGAAAGGTATGAAGAAGTAATAAAAGGGGGTAAGGTACTATGGCCTACTTGCCATAACTACAAAACAGAGGATCTCTCTGGAAAATCCTTTCCAAGATAACAAAATTAATTGTGTAACAAATTCTAAAGCTGTGCTACCATCACATAGTAAGAATATTTCTATTTGAAATAGATTTTTTCTTAAAAACATATATACTATGCGATATATACATGTTTATATAAATAATCTCACACACACACACACACACACACACACACCCCCACACACACACCCTTGAATTATCCTAAGATAAGTTTTTTAATTACTTCATTTCAGAGGAACAAATTATTTGGTCATCTCTGTGTAGCTGAAGCCAGGTCTGATGCAGTAAGGCAATCTCAATTGTTCAGGCACTTCCATAAAATGTTGAGCAATAAGCTTTATTAACTACATCCCTCTTTGTTAAGTAACAAAAACCCAACCTGAGGTGGTATGATCAGAAATGGAGTCCATTATAGTTATACAGGGCTATTTCACGGAAGCCAAGAGCAAAAATAAAATCAAGTCTGAAGCAGGTATGTGACTGAGTCAGGGTATCAGCAGGAAGAAATGGCATACTCAGAAGAATTCACTGGAAGAAAATTTAATGAAGATATTTACAGAAATGTGAACAGGTTAAGAGAACCAAAAAGATATGATGAGGCACCAAGAACCAGCAAGACTGGAAAACCAGTACCATGGCTTAGGGGGGTCAACTGGAAGGAACGTTGTTACCATAGTCCAACACAAGCCACAGCTACGGGAAGAGGACGCAACTTGACAGAAGCTGTAGCTGCCAAAAAGGAAACCACTGCCAGGAATGCACTGGAGCAGAGGGAGCAGAGGAAATAAACACCCTGACTTTCTCTGCTTTCCTTTCTTCCTCCACCCTCTTAATCTCCTGCTGGTGCACCCACTGTCCAAATCCAACCCCAAAGCCAGAGGGCAAAGGAGCCCAGATCATGCAGTCCACAGAGGTCAGCCTCTACAAGGCAAAACAGAGACCATAGGAGAATGATTCTAGGGCAAGTAAAAAGTGAATAACCGGGCTTCCCTGGTGGCGCAGTGGTTGGGCATCCGCCTGCCAATGCAGGGGACGCGGGTTCGTGCCCCAGTCTGGGAGGATCCCACATGCTGCAAAGCGGCTGGGCCCGTCAGCCATGGCCGCTGGGCCTGCGCGTCCAGAGCCTGTGCTCCACAGCGGGAGAAGCCGCAGCAGTGAGAGGCCCGCGTACCACAAAAAAAAAAGTGAATAACCAGCACAATATGGAAACAAAGACCACTATAACAGTAGAAAAATCACTAATTCAGCACACAGTCCCTTTCCCAGGAACACTTTCTCTGTAATATATAGGATGTGCACATATATATGGGAAACTAGGACATTCAAAAAGGATTGTTACTAGGACTTCCCTGGCAGTCCAATGGTTAAGATTCTGCACTTCCACTGCAGATAATTCTTTTTCTATAGGTTTAGTAATAACTAATGAGTTGCTTTATTATCAACTAATTTTAAACCTCAAAGGAGACATGACCTCATTATTCTTAGCTTTTCTAATTCAGCTCTGAATATTGAAGCATTAAGATATGCTATGATAATAATTTAACAACTTTTAAAGATCCTAAAACCATTAAACAATGATACATCTCAATAATAAAACAGTACCACTGCAAAAGAAAATTTTATACTCCAAAGCTTTATTTAGCAAATACAATTAAAAAGTGGATATCTACATTTTTATGTCACTTGTATACATCTTGATTTTTCCACAGTAACAAACCATGAAACCTAATGCTTTTACAAAAAGTTTAAAAAAAAACAAAGTTAAAAATAGATAATAGCAAATCACACTAAATTTCTAATGGTTCACCAACAGAAATCTGCAGATCCATAATGTGAAAATAGGCCTTGTTCATATCTTTCTGCTTTTTTGAGGACAACAAACTTTCCTGAACTTAAGTGTTTCCTAAAGAACTCATTTGCCAAATATCTGTTTGATTCCTCTAGAAAAACAGAGTCTTCAAGCTATTTTAAGGTGTAAGGAATTTAATTTTATATGCTTTTTTGAAAAATATAACTGAGTTAGAAAGCAACTAAATAATTTGAGGTTGACAGTATGGCAAAAGAAAACAGGTAGAAAAGTGAAAGTATTTAAGTCAAAGTTACTATAGCACACATAATGGCATACACACAAAAAAATTAAGGAAGTAGAAATCATGGAATGGACGGAACTCATTAGCCAACTAATGCTTTTCCTAGTTCCCAAAATATGCCTAACCAATATACAATCTTTACAGTTATTTATCATATTAAGTAGGCTAATACTAAAACCAAAACATTTTACCTAAGCACTTTTATCTGGAGAGTATGTATACGGTAGTAGGAAATCAAGGAGAAAACCAGCCTAGAAAGCAATAGTGTAGAATATGCACTGAGTTACAGCCTGTGTCCTACATAACCTTTTGAATGCATGACCTTTAAGTTGCTGAAGGTTGCTCAGAATTTGGCTCAGTTTGATGGAAACATCTGTTCCCCTTGCAGGTATACTGTAAGGACTTTTTTCTCAGTTGGATTCAGAACACAGCAAGTGAGCCCTTGTCTGTCCAATCATACAGACACCAACACTTGTAAATCAAGTTCTGGGAGGACAACAGCAGGTCCACAGTCCGTCACCCTTTCTTAGCCAGCTAGGCCAACTGACTGCTGTGAGAACTGCTCTTATCATGTCATCAAATCAAAACATGTTGAGATGAGGGACTATAAGAGGCATCTGCAGAATTCCCAAAATGCAGTGACTTTGGAACATTGACAGATGCATCTGTCATTTCATACCTTCAACTAACCTGATGTCCACTGGCCAGACACAGAAAAGCTGTCCAAGATTGATTCCAACTCTTTCACGTTATTTTCACATGTCTCTACCAGAAAAGCCTGGTGCTTCTTAGCCTTTTAATTAAGAAAAAAATTACACATAATAAGGTCACGCATTATAAGAGTTGCAGATTTTTTATGTGAACACATATAGCACAATTAAGTATAAACAAGCTAATAATTACTCCATTCATACCTATTATTAATAAACTTCTTTCTGTCGTAATCATACCTTTTACTCGGCTTAATGCAACACTGTGTAAGGTCTCAATAACAGTTTACTGAGGTCTTAGTGCCTGGCACTATTCTCAGTATTTTAACATAATAATTCTTTTTATCCTCACAACGAATCTATGAGGGAAGGGCTATCATTATCCCAATTTTACAGATAAGGGAACAGAGACAGAGAAATTAAGGAAAACTTTAAAAGATCACGCTTGCAGTCATGTAGCAAATTGCCAGATGGTGTTCAAAAGTGAATGCAGTATGAGCAGTTAGAAGGAACTGCAGCAGTTTACCCAAGAGGTGATGGCAGCTTAGATTAGGGTCTTAGCAGAGCAAAAGGGGTGCGGGGTGTATGCACTGAAGGATGTTGGGGGGGTGTATACTTAGAAGGGGGAATGGCCAACCTTGGTAGTGCTGCGCTGGGTTAGATGACATTGACTGGATTGGATTGGATTGGACTGGATTAGATGAGATTGGAGAAGTGCTCAGATAAAATGAGGAGTCAAGACTGACCCCACTTTTTCGGGAGGGGGCGATGCTGAGATGGAGGTGGTGGCAGCCGAAGCAGATGGTACTCTCTTTGTGGGCAACCTTGAAACGAAAGTGACAGAGGAGCTGCTTTTCCAGCTTTTCTACCAGGCTGGGCCAGTAATAAAAGTGAAAATTCCAAAAGATAAGGATGGTAAACCAAAGCAGTTTGCATTTGTGAATTTCAAACATGAAGTATCTGTTCCTTATGCCATAAATCTGCTTAACGGAATCAAACTTTTTGGAAGGGCCAGCAAACTTCAGTTTAGATCAGGAAGTAGCCAGCCTTGCCTCACAGGAGGCCAGTTTGTCATATCCCCAGCATCCTGTTGGAAGTTCAAGCCCTACTTCCACATCTCCTAGCAGGTATGAAAGGACAGTGGATAACATGACTCCATCAGCACCGATAATTCAAAGGTCTTTTTCTTCTTCAGAAAATTTTCAGAGACAAGCAGTGATGAACAGTATTTTGAGACAGATGTCATATGGAGGGAAATTTGGTTCTCCACATCTGGATCAATCAGGATTTTCCCCATCAGTTCAGTCACATAATCATACTTTTAACCAGTCTTCAACCTCCCAGTGGCGCCAAGATACACCATTATCATGGCGAAAAGTCAGAGAGAATTCTCATCCCTACATAGTGGATAGACATTATTGCCATGA